ACAATAACAATGTATACTTTTCTATGCAATCTCATCCTCAAAGCAGTAAAGACACCCAGTTGCCTAGGTATCGAGAAACTGGTGGAGTTGGTCTTAAATAACATGCTCTATTAGTTGTTCTTTTAGAAATTTTCACATACAAAGTCTGCTAATATTAAAAAAAATAAAAATAAAACTAAGATCACTTTGTAATAATAAACAAAATTTCACAATTAAAATCACTTCAAATATGCCAACTGAATAAATTATCGATTTTTTTATTTTCTCAAACTAAATTATTAGAGTGTTTTTGTTGGAAATTTATAACTATCGAAGTGTTTTTCTTCTAGTTCACTATTTTTTATAGAAAATATATGATCATCTTTAAAGGAGATGCCAAATCTTAAGTGGAATGCCACGTAATAAAATTTGAAGGCAGATAGGAGCTCCAACCGATATGTCAATCCTATGTGGATTGACATATCTATTGTTGTTGTCAATTTTGGCATATGATAAAATTTGATGTCAACTTATTTTTTAAATGTTATGTTTTGTGGGTCCTAGTAATGCACCAATCATAAGTCATGAAAATTAGTTTTTATTTATTGTTTTGAAGAGTGGATTGTTTTTGTCACAAATGGTCTTTGAAATTGACATTCGCCATCAAGATGGCCCCTAAAATTGAAAATCAATCGATGTGGTCATTCTATCACAATTCTGTTAAAAATTTTGTTAAGTACTGATGTAGCACATAAATGGATCCCATAAGTCATTTTTTCTCACAAATGGTCCTTAAAATTGACCCGTGACATCAAAATGATCCTTGAAATTGATCTGCGACATCAAAATGGTCCCTGAAATTGAAAATCGAATAGTGCAGTCCCGTAAGTAAGTGTCCCAAATCAATGTAGTCATTCCGTCACAATTTTGTCAAAAATTATGCTATGTGCTGATGTGACACATAAATGGATTACACAAGTCTAATTAAATTAAAAAAAATTTACAAATAGGTTGAATAATTTAATAGTTAATAAATGTTGTGAACCCAAAAATCCAATCCCGCAATCACCTCCAATTCCAATCCACATTCCTCTACCTCCTTCGCTATCTATTCTCTAAAAAAAAATTCTCAAAACACCCATATTTACACACTTAGACAACCTCCACCAAATTGAACCTGGATCGAGATCATATTTGATGACGACTTGGCTGATTGACAACGACTTCTGGGACATTACCGTTAACATTTAGGCGATCAACATTCTCACAACCTTAATCTTAGAAAGCTTGTCCGACGCTTCCCTGGTGGTCTGGTGACTCAAAGAATGACAAGGTCTGCCTTAAGATAATGAGGTTATAACTGAGGTGCGTCTATTGTTGGTTAAAAACTATTTCCACACCTCTCTTAGGCCTTGGTTAAGCCTTGTGCCTTTAAGAATTTATGGAAGAGATCTCTTTTTAGAGTAGGTCCTACTTTAAGAAAAAAGAGTTCTATGGTGCAAAAAAGTATTTAGACAATTTTTTAAATTAGTTATTAAACCCACATCAACAAATAACAATTTTTTTTTTATAGAATTGTGGCGAAAGGATTATATTGATTTGCGAAACCTATTTTCAAGACTACATTCATCGATTTTCAATTTTCGGGACTATCTTGATGGTGTAGGTCAATTTTCAGGACCATCTTGATGGTGTGAGTCAATTTCAGGAACTATTTGTGATTAAAACCCGAAAATCTTGTGGGGCCCATTTATGTGCCACATCAGCACTTAACAAAATTTTTAACAGAATTGTGATGGAAGGACCACATTGATTTGCGACACTTATTTTCAGGAACTACATTGATTGATTTTCAATTTCAAGAATCATCTCAATGATGAAGGTAAATTTTAGGAATCATTTGTGATAAAAACCCTTCTACAAATATTAATCGAATAGAAAAAAACATGAGTTGGAGCAAAATAAAATTTGACATACATAAGCCTTCCAATTTACATTTAATTTTTTTTTTGTTTTTTTTTTTTTATACATCTTCACCGAAAATGATCTAATTGAATTTTGAGGCATTGGGGAACGTGGTTAAGATATCAACTTTGATGATGCAATAGCAATTGTCTCCTTTCTGGCGGACATGATGATGTGGCATTTAAAAGCAATTCTTACCTTGCAAGTTGCAACAGCTCTAAGAGGTTTTTTTTGGGAAAAAAAAATTGTTAGTTTAATTGGTGAATTTATAATTTTAGCCACTCAGTTTAGGGTAGCTATTGATTAAGAACCAGAGTTAAAATAACTCGTTAAAATGTTTTAAGAGATAACTATTGATATGCTCGTCCGTGGGCCTAACTAAGAGTGTATGCTTCACCGCGCACTAAGACGAGAGTATACGCTATCTCGGGGGCTCAGTTGAAAGTGTACACTGCCAAAACGCTTGGTTCTTGACTGGTCAAGTGGCTGTATACCGAGATGCTACTGAAGAGGTTCGTTGTTTGCCCTTATCCTACTTCGGGACAACTCGTCTGGGGCACGTTGCATCTCGGTACACTGCAAGAGCTGATTCACCAAGGTCGTTTGTTGTGTGAAGGCGTTTGTCAACTCTATGACTTGTCAAGACAAGTATGGTTCGCCATTTAGGTGAGAAGAGCTTGGATGGTAGGTTTCTCCATAGGTGGTAGACTTCAGGCGCGAGATTTGAGTTGGGAAATGTCAAATCCGTGGAGAAATGTGGTGAAAATGCCCCTGGTTCAATCGGAGGCCCTAAAATTTGAAGCCGGGACGGTTAAATTAATCTTGGACCAATTTGGGCTGCTTGGAAGGCCACGGGAGCAGGTTTGGTTGCGAGAACACTCTGGGTTGCGGGACCAAGCTGGGCCTTAGGACTAGGCTGGGTTGCAAGAACATGCTGACCCATGGGAGTGGGCTGCTGGTGTGTGGCGCACGTGGGTGCGAGGCTAGGGCTCGCCTTGGCAATGCATTGGGTTCGCATTGGGCTTGAGTGGCTCAAGCCGTCTCACCTTGTTCTTGGGCCCGTGTGGGCTTGAATGCCACGGCTTGGGCCGTGGTTGTGGTGTCGTGAGCCTTGCCGAGGGTGGCTGCCGTGGTGGCCACCATGGTTGTTGCCACAATGGTGCCCCGTGGGGGGGGGGGTGTTGCTCCACTCATCGTTGTGTTGAGCCTTGTAAATCACCACAGTCCTAATCCTCGAACGTTGGAATTTCCTTTCATTGAGGTTTCCGAATGTCTTGCCATTGTACTTTTCTTTTACGTTTTATCGAAGAATGTTTAGAAAAAAATCCAAGAATAAGAACGTAGGAAAAATCTACAAATGAACAAAAAAATGAAAAACCTTGAATGCGAAAGTCTTCTACGAGCGTTTGATCAAGACTCTTAATGAAAGCACCAATTTATGGATGCAAATTTCTTCCTTCTTGTTCTTGGACAAAATTGCACTTACAAAACAAATAACACCTTAGGTCAAGGTCAATGGCCTCACGCACCCACGATGAATTTAGGGGGGGAGGGGGGGTGGGCTTTGGCAGAAGAACCTCCGATGCCAAAGTTAGAATTTTGAGAGAAAAATGTTTGGAGAATTTAGAGAATTTTGCAAGAGAGTTGGAATTGAGTTTTGGAGAAAATGAGGTTGTATTTATAGGGGTATGGCCGGCCCTTAGGGAGGATGGGAACCGGCCACTTGGATGGTTTTTTGGGTGTGGTTCATAATTTGTTAGCTAATTAATAAATTAATTGGGTAATAAATCAATTAATTAGCTAATTAATATAATTAGAAATGAATGATTTGGCATTTACCTTGTGAAGAAGATTTGATGAGGATGGATGAAATAGGTTTTGAATAAATACCTATTTTGGGCACTTTTGACTTGATTGAGGGATGATTGCCCATTGCTTGCGCGTAAAAATCCCAGTGTTCCTCGAGGGTAATCTTGTCTTTTTAATCCAAAAATCCACATGTCACCTTCATATTTTTCTTGATTATTTTTTACTCCACATGTATCACACTCATAACTACTGCTGCTTGATTTTTATATATAAGTATCATGCTCATAACTACTGTGAAAGGCCTTAGAGTGCTATTATATGGACTACAATGTACTGAGCACCTGTTGACCACCCTTCTAATAATGGACTCCATCGATGCATGTTAAACTCTTTTTTATTGTAGAGGTGGTATGTAGTTGTCAATATGGTCAAAGATCATTATTCATCAGAATGAGTAGGAGAAACACTTGGGTCAAACCGGCTGATCAATTGGACGGTCTGACCAATTAATATCGATAAGCATATGTACATGGCCTCGATTATAAATGTCTTTCATACCATTAATGATATCGATACTTTGATTGTCAATATCATGTCTATATGTTAGTGGAAGCTTACATGGTTAGTAATTGACAGTGTAGGTTCGCTGGCCTGACCCTTCGGACAGTCATGCAGTTTGACCCAAGTTTTTCTCGAGTATTGGAGTACAAGGATGTGTGTTACGCTGCCCAATGACACACATCGTCATTTACTTTCTGTCTAGAACTCCGCTCGCTCGCAAGCATATAAACACGATATCAACAACTATATACCTAATCGAAATACAAATCGTATAGATAGAACAATAAGGTCGATAGTCCATGACATGTGAATATGAATACAGAATGGTTCGAAATTCCACTGAACAGGAGTGGTCTGACCTAAGACTGGAAGCATATAGGCCATGGTCGACCACCATCTGAGCTTTATCCATACTTTATCGGGCTAGGTTTTACCTACTTGGGAAGTCCGTGGAAACTTGTTTGCCAAGGCAACTAACGAAAAGGCAATTTTGGAGGGTCCTTAAACCCTTGGAAGGCACAAAGCAAATGTTATCATTGAATATTTTCTACGGTACTCCGGGATATCACGAAGAAAGCAATACATACAATAGTTCATGGGAAAAGTTTTCACACATTTCAAACTGTAATTTGTCGAGAAGGAGAAATGAATTTCAAGGAGCGAATGGGTAAATAGGAAGTTAACAGTAGTTTTAAAGAAATAAAGATATATTTTAAGGAAGCACTAGATACAATAATGTCAAAAGAATTACAGCAATACTAGAACCGACCACTTTTTTGACCCGGCGGCTAAATGCAAGACCCAAAACAAGGCTGCCCATACCCACAAAAATATAATGCAATGCAGGAGGAAACATCAAAATAGAAACTGATTAAACAACGCCAAACATCGAAAGGCCACATTTCACGCCATTGAAACAGTACTCTCATGAAAACCCACCCTCACGGGCCAAAGGGCATATGCATTGTAGCTGAAGCAAAAAATATCACCAATTTTAGATTATACTTGGTTTCCAGTTCCATCACCTCTTGTGTGCCCACCCGTCCGTCCTCTTGCTCGGTTGTACCCTCTGCCCCCTCCACCTCTGCCACCTCGTTCATATCCACCAGCACCGCCTCTCTCATATCCACCAGCACCGCCTCTCTCATAGCCACCAGCACCGCCTCTTTCATAACCTCCACCAGCACCACCTCTTTCATAACCTCTGCCAGCACCGCCTCTTTCATACCCACCGCCAGAACCTCTTTCATACCCACCGCCAGAACCTCTTTCATATCCACCACCAGCACCTCTTTCATATCCACCACCAGCACCTCTTTCATAGCACCGCCAGCACCGCCTCTTTCATACCCACTGCCAGAACCTCTTTCATACCCACCGCCAGAACCTCTTTCATATCCACCGCCAGAACCTCTTTCATAGCTACCAGCACCTCTTTCATACCCACCACCAGAACCTATAAGAAAAGAAAATAATATGCTTGAAATAGTCAGTCCATTGCACATATGTGACCAATGCTCACATGCAGATCAATCAAAGAACATATTCATATCTGAAGCACACATCTTAAGCGGTTAAGTGTATCCACCAGACTGAGAGGTATAGGGATACTATTGAATACATGCACCCAATTGAAAGCAAACACAAAAACACAATGATCCAACACTCTTCAAAATAGAGTACAATGCCAACCATTCAAATATGGCCAACTCTTTTGTAAATAATCCCTCAACGTCCCCTAACCCAAAATGCTGCTCAGGATATTCTCCTTGTACAGGCAATTATTAAAAAGAATGCATAGACTCATCAACAAGTTTGATTATTGCATAGACCCTGTATAGAAAGTTAAGTAAACTTACCACGGTTACCCCAACCCCTACCACGTCCACCACCTTGTCCCCGATTTGAATATCCACCATTATCTACTAGAAAAGAAGTCCAAGTCAAGGACAGATTTATATTATATAAATTATACACACACACACACATGTATATATGTATATATAATAAAGAGGGACTTCATAAAACCATAAGGAGATTACTTAAATCCCCAATGTAGAAAATAATTGTGTGATTTCATTATTGTACCTTGATAGTTTCTATAACCACCTTGATAGTTCCCAGATCGACCTTGATGATTTCCATATCCGCCTTGATAATTGCCATACCCTCCTCCACCCCTGCCCCAATTCCGGCCTCTTCCTCTACCACGTCCCCGTCCTCGGCCATATGAATCTAACCACCAAATAAAGGAAGCATGTTAAAATTGAAACATTAAAACGTGCTTAAAATAAAAGCTACATGATAAGTTGTCATTACCATCACCTTCATTAACAGCATTGTAAGAAACACGTGTTTGTTTTGGTTGCTGCTGCTGTTGGTACTTCGGCTGTGGCTTTGATTGATCCGCAACATATGGGGCTTGATACCTATGGAAAGGGAACATGTAAAAAATATTAAAATTAAAAGCACTAGAAAAGGAACAGGAATCACAATTCCATAAGCTCAATATTTTTATGCATATACCGCAGAAGAATTTCAAACTTAATCTAAAAATCAACCTTGGTGAAGATCCCAACATATTTCAGAACTTACCCAGGAGAATTTGTGTTTAGCTCCTTAGTTGATAATGTGATTGAAATCATTGAGACATGACGAGTCGTTTCCACACTGCAACACATGTTTATAACTTAATACGCCCATTATTAATTAAGCAGAAAAAGAAAATAACCATGCATACGAACATAGCATACACTAAAAATTTGTTTAAGCCATTTCCTTACCAGACGAAGTAATCACCATAAATATATTCATGCTTACAAAATTGTGCAGTGGAAATTTATTTTGCGACACTTACGGGAGAAGACCTTCTTCCATCGGTTCAAACACATCAGTTATGCTTACAGAGCTGATGGCAGTTTCTTGATGCAACAAGGGAATTCTATTCTGTTTTCAAACACAAATGGCTGGTTAGTGTGCAATGAAGAGAGAGAGATTGTTGGGTAGTTGTCGGGAGGGGAGAGAGATAGTGACCTTTATAATTTCAGCAATTGCAACTGTCTTGTTAATTGCCTGTCCCATTGCCTTCAAGACGATTTCTTTTCCGCGCTTATCCTATGAAAAATGTCCACAGAATTGGTAGATTAGCTCCAAAAAATCAGATGCGAGGATAGATGAATCACCATAACCATGCATACAGACCACTCAGACAAAGTATCATTTAAGACACTTGTTCTATAACATAGATCTTCGAGTACCAGCTGACAGAAAAAAACACAGGGAGAGAAAATAAAGTTAACCTTAGGATTTCTAGAACATAAAAAGGTAAAAGAACAACAGTTATAGCAAAGAGACATAATAAAGAGAAGCTCAAACAGAACATGTACATACTGATCTTACAGCCGTAAATAGGTACGAATTCTTGCCCATTCTCATAATAAATATTATTATTATTTATTACCTGAGTGATTTATGGAACACTCTCGTTAATGTAACAATTTTTTCTTATCATGTCAATGTGTTTTGGCCAAGCGTCAAAGGTATATTCACCCACAGAAAGGCTGAACCCTGATTGAATACAGGGGTCAACCAAACTCTTGTAAGGCCTTATTGTGACTAAAAACAGTTAACCGCCTCGTTGATAGATTTTGACAAGTACACTAAAGGAAACCCTTCCCAGGTGGAGAATCCATCACAAAATGGAAAGTACCATTCATACCAAAAAGGGCCTTGTGTACTTGTTGGAGAGAAATTATCGGCATTAAGAACCATAATTAAAAAGTTCACTCATGTCTTTACAACCACAATTTTGGAACATTGATTATCCTTTTTCACAGCTTCAGCCTTCACTGAACTCTCAGCCTAATTGGTCTATAATCCAATGACATAGCATATGATGCAAACAACTACACAACTAGATTTGCAATACTGCATACAACACGGGTTGTCCAGTAAACTGAATTATTGACGCAAACATGAAAACTAAGTCTACCCAACTCCTCACTGAAGTCAATAGAACTATTCTGACGTAAATAATTGATAACTGGCATTCCCAATAAACTAAAACTGTCAATGGACACTTTTTCAGTCAAGACCTACCGGCTAGCATCTCCCACGCCAACACGAATTAACAATCATGAAGGACTTTCCGCATACAAGTAACAAAAACTTAGCCGAGACCATCAATTTAAACAATAACAACAGCTACATTCATGTGATTCAAATTTCAACCATAACAAACAACCAGAAAAGTCCATAAAACAACATGCAAATGCATTTATCATACCAAACAACCAAGACCAAATACCCACAAATAACAAAATGGGCGAAAAATCCATCCATATTGGAAGCAAAAACAACCCAATAAACCGAAGGGACAAAACCCAATGCAAAAACAAAGACATGCAAAAATACCCAGAAACCAAAATACAAAAGAATGAATCAATATAACAAAACACGACGACGATCGAAGCGAGAGAAGATGAACCTGCAGCAGAGTGGTGGCATAGCTGATGTAGTTTCTGATAGCGCCTTGGGTGGTGATGCGGATCTCGTTCTCGTTGATGGGCAATTCGGGCCTCGGCTTCTCGACTCTCTGAAACTTTTCCATGGCGTTTCGGAACTTTTGGATTTGGGAGAAACAGAAAACCCTATAAAACCCTAGCGGAGGAGCGAGAGAGTCAGAGAACACTGAAGAGAGGAGAGAGACAAAGTATGAACGGGAAGCGGTTAAAAAAAGGGCGAAATTTTGGTTTTCAAAAGCCCAAGCCCAATTCGATTTCGCTCCATATTTCACAAATCGACAGCCAGGGTTTAGTAGCGTACATGTTCCAACTCATCGTGTGCGTCCACGTATCACTGCATGGTTGATAAGGGGTGACGCTCCGCACATCCATTTTTGGAATAGGAGGTGGTGCTCCACACATCCATTTTTGGAATAGGATCCTCTCCGGATGCTATTTGTCAGGATTCGAATGATCATTTAATCGTGTATGTTTATCTAATCATCGTGTAATTAGAAATTATTTTAAATTTTAAATTTTATATTAAATATAAATAGTACTTAATGAAAACTGATCATGTATGATGAACGGACACGATTGATTGATCTTCTAGATCTCTACAAAGAGGATCCGAAGAGGATCCTTGTCCTCCATTTTTTTACTTTTTACACATCCCCTCTTATTATTCTGTCGTTGAATCGAATAAATTGAAAAAGATACGTGTCTCCAAATTAGCAAAAGTGTGTGGAAGGTAAAAACAATTGTGTGAATACCTCTTTCTTTATAATAAAAAAAAAAAGAAAAAGAAAAAAGAAGTTAAAACATGAATAACTACCCAACCTTTTAAAATATTCCAAATAACACCTAACATTCTGAATCATGAACATTTAAGTCACTAGCATTAAATAATAACATGAACAAATATTGAAGTAGATTTAAACTCTCAAGTCATTTGTAGAACTTTGAATCCTCTAATCAACCCATTTTCGTCACTTATTTTCATTTTTATTAATTAAACCTTATTCTTTTTCCTTTTCTTTTTTTTTTTTTTTATCAAAATTCTTTAACTTCCACATCATGATTTGAATATTAAATAATTTCAATTTTAAATTTGAAATACTTATTCTATAAAATATATTATTTTAGTATTTTCACGTATTTTATTTTTAATTTGTACCATATATTTTTAATAGGTTGAAAACTTTAATTTTCGACCCATAATTTTAATTTTGTACCAATATTCTTTTAATTTTAATTTATACCCATATGTTTCTAATTTCTTTTTATGCCATATATTTTATAGACATTGATTTGTACCCATAATTTTGAATTTGTATATGTACTAATGTACTTCATATTTATTTATGTACCAATGTTCTAAAAAACGCTAGGCGCTAGTTGAGCGGCCGGCTGTTGCCTAGTGCCTAGGCGGCTAAACGAGGTCTAGGCGGCCTAAACGAATTTAGGTAAATTTCTTTTATATCTTGTAAATAAGTGCATATTGACATTTACAAAAAATTGTTCTTGTATATCTTGAAATAAATATATTATATACCATATGAATTAGTTAAATTTATTTTATAGTAAATGATTAAATATTGAGGAAGACGTTTTTAAAAAATATATATATATATATACACACACATATCTAATATAAGAGTATAATATAAGCTGATCTTATTCCGATCATAAAAAGAAAAATAATAAAATAATATAATGTAAGAGTGTAATATAGACTTTAAAGAGATAAAGGTGTCAAATATGTGGGTGTAGAATGCAAAGTGGGACATCATACGCATAGAGATGGGGAGCTACACCAATACTTAATAGCCAAAGTACGCCTAGGGACTCACATCCCATGTTTTTTTTTATGAGAACAATCAATAGCTAGGTACTGATAGCTCATATTTTTCCCTTGAAAAATCATATTGATGCTAGCTCTCCAAATGTGATTCGACAAAATTAAATAGAAAAGTTTGAGAATGGTCACGTGAATGAAAAGAAGAGAGAGAAACTTATTTTCTCATCTTCTTCGTTTTTCGTTTTCGTAAGAACACAGACCAGCAACCCAAAAAGTTTAGAACGCACTTCATTCATTCTTTCTCAAGTTCGAAAATAGAAAAAAAATTGAGATTCCAAACCATCTAGGCCAACCAGTCGGGCGCCTTGATCCCTGCCTAATCCCTTTGCCAATTTTCCTTCCAATTAAGAGTTAATCCCGATGGCTAGTCATCGCCCAGTGTCTAGGCACCGTCTAGGCTGATTTTTAGAACACTGTTCTGTACTCATATTTAAAATAAAATAAAAAACAACAACAATTGTAATTTGTACCCATAATTTTAATTTTTGATATGAACCCATATTTTTTAATTTAATTGTACTTATCTTTTAAATTTTGTACCAATATGCTTTTAGCTTTAATTCATACCCATATGTGTATACTTTTTTTTATGTCCATTTTTTATACTTTGATTTGTACCTTTAATTTTAAATTTTGATATGCAACCATATGTTTTAATTTAATTTGTACTCATATTTTTTATTTATTGTTAGATCCCACATCGCCCAAGAAAGAGGATCATCTATGCCTTATATGTACATTCCTACCTCCTTTAGCACGAGACCTTTTAGGAGCTCACTGGCTTCGGAGTTCATTGGAACTCTAAAGTTAAGCGAGTTCGCGCAAGAGCAATCCCAAGATGGGTGACCCATTGGGAACTCGTGTGATTTTCCAGAAACAAAACCGTGATGGTGTGGTCGGGGCTCAAAGCGGACAATATCGTGCTACGGCAAAGTCGAGCTCTGGATGTGGTGGAAAGTTCTCGTGTGAGTTCCCAGAAACAAAACAGTGAGGGTGTGGTTGGGGTCCAAAGTCGACAATATCGTGCTACGGCGAAATTGAGCCCGGATTGGGATGTGACATTTATGAATGTACCCATACTAATACATGAAATTATTTTGTGTTTTAAAATATATCAATAGTTACGTGAGTATATTATTTTTTTGCAAAAACTATGTGAAGAACAATATTATTTTGTCATCGATTTTAAGAAATTATTATATTTTCAAAATACAATTTGAATTTGTTTAAATTTCATAATTTGTGGGTTATAAATTTGATAAATACAGGAGTTAAATTCCCTAAATGATGCACCGTTTAAATGTTAGATTTTGATCAAAATATTTGGCTAAATAAGATTCCAAGCAAACAATTGAGGGACAGCAACCAAAATTATCCTCGAATTATTCATAAGTCCGTAATGACTCCTCTTTTTTTGTTAACACCAAGTAATTTTCTCACTTTTAGTCGCCTTCCGGGGATATCAATTTTGCAGCTTCTTCATTGTTAATGTGAACCATGCAATTGAGGAATTATCAATAACTTGAGTTCTAATCCTTCACAAAAAATAAGAAATTCTGTATATTATGACCAATTTATGGTGAAAAATGGGGTTGCCCCCTCAGCAAAACAGGGACAAAATTGAGCTAGAAGATCCCGATTCAAGATAAATTCATGAAAAAGCAGAATTTCTTTAGAATCTACTCCATAATTTAGAAATTGATTAATTGATAAAGATACATGTACTTGATGCCCCAAAACAAAACAAAAAAATTTATTGATGAGTTTTTGAGCTAGGATGGGATGGGTGGTGGATTTTGCAACTAGGAGGATTATGACCCTTCATATTTGAACAATTATGATTAAATTATGTCAATATTTTATATTAATATTTTTATAAGAACAAAAAGACAAAAAGGAAAGTGCGAGAGGAAGAGAGAGAAGGAGATGAGAATAGGAGAGAAGATAATTCTACTCCTTTTGTAACATCTATCATGGAAGTGATGTTTTCAACTTGGAAATAGATCCTCTCCGGATCCCTTCCATCAAATCCACCCAATCAATCAATCCGCGCTCTTAAAATTTGATTCAACGACTACAAACAATAGCTTCTTTAAAAGTTATAATAACTTTAGCCGTTAGATCAAATTTCAAAAGTCCTAATTAAGTAATTGGATGAATTTAATGGATGGGGACCACCTATTTGGTACCAGTATCTGTTGGTGCGGTTGGGAACCACCTCATTGTGATTGACATCAATTCTTGTATATCATGGGTCTTGTACAAAAATTAGAGGAATTGAATAATATGACTTATTTATCAATATATGACATGTTGTGGGTTCATGCAATGACATGATACGCCTTTAAATTAGAGGAATTGAATAATATATGACTTATTTATCAAAGTACCTCCCGAACAGTATTTTAAGTATCACTTTATTTTTACTTTTGCTACCGAGTCAGATTAGTGTCTCACGTTACCTGAATTTGTCAATTATGTTACTGAATAACTTTTGATTATAGGATATAATTTTAATCATCCTATCTCATATTATTGATATCACGTCGATATTATAGAATAATAATTAATATTTAATGGATAAAGTTAACCAATACAAAATAAAATTTTAGACGACAGATTGATACAATTGTAAATTTGGAAATGCAAAGGATAAAAATATAATTTCGTAATAGTTGATGGAACATTTTTTATAATAAAACAATCATATCTAGTTATTTGGCTAAAATGAATTTTCTATAAGAGCAACTCCACTACTTCCAATTGCAACGGCAATTCGGTGATTCAATCCCTTTACTCCAACAAAAACAGCTTCAGCTCACCCAAATCAGTATGTTGACAAAGTTTTTTGCAGGTGACGGTGCATTAGTAGGAGACGGTGATCGAGGGAGGAGTCCGGCTTCTCTGCCGTTGAGAAATCTGGCTTAGAAGACTGAAGTGGCTATGCGTTTCGAGAGGGAGAGGGAGAGACAAACGGAGCGAGGGAGGGAGGGACGGATGGTGAGAGAGGAAGAAAATGAGGGAGAGTGGAGAGTGATGAATTACGACGGAGGAAATGAGACAAAAAAGGAAAATAATATTATTTTTTATTTACTTATTAAAAATAATTTTTTAATACTAATTACCCGGACAATTATCGGATTGAGTCGCTATAAGGGTTTTTTTTTTCTTCTTCAATATTCAATTCAAGAATTCCCAAAATTTCCCAAATCGCCTTAACAATATTATTAATAGTCAAACCAGGACGTCTGATATGCGTTTCTATTTTCATTAGTAATATGGTCGAGTAGTATTCGTCTTCCGTGAGAAATCTTATATTGATTCTCGCAAAAGGCAAATTAAAACCAACTTGT